AGCGTGCTTGGATCTAAAAAAATATAAAAAGGAGTGATAAGTTTAGAGAGAATGCATAGAAAATGAAATTGTAAAAAGATTTTGATTTTATGATAATGAAATTGAATGTTTAAACTTTTCTATTTATCATTTTTTTTTAATTTAAATGTTAACACTTCAAACATATTCTCAATATATCATTTCTATTCTTAATTTAGTTAAGTTGAGTCTTCATAATTAGAGTTATTAAAAATAATTTTTTATTAAATAAGGAATGTTTCAAAACCATTATGCTCAATTCAACAAACAATTTTCATTTTGAATATTGGTGTTATAATGTACTAACCATAAAGAAACACTATTTTTTATTTTTGTTTATGTTATGCGAAATTTATGTTAAATTTTTATCATTGTTTTTTAAGTTAAGATTGAAATTTTATATAATTTTAGTTTTAATTAGATATTTCAAGTTGATTAAATCACTAATTAATAATATATAATTTATTTATAAATTAATTTTATAAGATATAATTAAATATATATTTATTTTTATAAGTTATATAAAAACTTATTATAACATGTTGACTTATTAATCCATTCATTAAGTCCTTAATATTTAATTTCGCGTTTTTTGAAATGTTTATTTATCAATACGAAGAAGTGTGGGGGAGATATCGTGCCTACTAAAAATATAATTATATAATTTAGGGTTAAAGTGTAACTTCCACTTCCAAATGGATGGTATAAGATTGAATTAGATTATTAAAACGTTTTAATTTTTTTGAAAACTTTTTTATATACAAAATTCAGGCCAATGATAAAAAAATAAAATAACCTGGATAGATAATCGTATGACAGTCCTAAAGCGAAGAAAATTGTTAATTTCGAAAAATTCAAATGAAATTATAAAAAAGATGAGAGATTTGTCGGAATATTTGTTTTTTTAGTGGATACTAATATCATAGTGATATAAAATTTCAATGATTAAATAAATAGTTAACTCTTAATTTAACATCCTATTTTTTGGGTAGCAGAGCAAAAATATGTGCATTTAGCTTTTAAATTTGTTCACATATTTGCATACGGTTTACATATTAGTTTTTAAGTCAATTTAAAAAAATGTATTTTTTTTAGAAAGAAAAAATAATAATTTTCTGGATAAAACGTTGCCGCCAATGTTGATTGTGACTTTTAATTCATTATACCGGTGTTCATTGTTGACATAGTCGTTAAATATTTTTAAAATATAAAATTTATCTTTAATTTTACTCATGCTTTAGCATAAAAAATACGCCTCTCTTTTTTAGCAAGTTGTTTGTTTATAAAAAAAAAATTGTTATTATTTGATTTTCTATTGAAAATAATATATTTGATGAATTTAATTATTTTAACAGTGAATAATATCTCAACATTATGTGATTTTGCATTTGATTTAAAACGTGGGTTTCTTTGTCTGGTTTAGTTTGTTGTTCATAGTCTTGTACGTATATAAAGAAAATAATTTATTACAAAATATTCATTTAGTATATATACGAAAAAAAATTCATGTATTAAATTTTAATATTCTTTTTTAATATTTTTTTTAAATATTTTTATCTTAAAATAAAAGTTTAATATAAAGTGTAATTAAAAATCAAACATTAATTAAGTGTGATTTTTTATATATAAATGAAAATAAAAGTAATAATTAATTATTTTAATCCTAGTTAATATAGATATGAAATTAAAGATTTGTACATAGACCATAAAATGTATGTGTAAGCATTGATTCTTGTATTTTTATTATTTTTTAAATATATAAATTATAATAAATTTTATTATTTTTATTTTTTAGATAATATTAAAAATAGTTATAAAAGATTAAATTTATAAATATATATATATATATTGTAATAATTATTTTTCTTTATATAATGATATTTTTTTATATTTTATAAATATTTAAAAAATAATTACATGTTTGCTTATACAATTGTACTAAGCTTCAAATTCTTACTAAATATATCAAATGGAAATAAAAATCTGAAAAAAAAAGTAATTTATCTCTCAATGATGATCTCATAAGAAGTACATCATAGTTAAGTTATTATAAAATTATTAGTGACATAATTGAATATATTTATTTGGATAACAAGATAAAATAATATTACTTGTACTTTAATTTAAAAATACATGATGTGAGAAAATAAATGAAGCATGGAATAATAAAGTATCTTAAATCTATTACTTTTTATAAGCATTCATTTGATTGGTGTGCAGATAAAAAGATTATATTACTTTACTTTCTAATCACCATATACACAGAACTAGATTTCATAACTAATGAGCTTCTACTTTTTCTGTTAAAAATATGACACCAGAATCATATACTCCTAAAGTTTATTTATGTTACACAGATAAATTTTCCATATGCTTGGGTCCGAAGGTTGTTTTTGAAAAGAAAAATTGTCAAATTGAATAAAAAGGTATTAGTCAAATTAAATTATTGTTCTTTATTTATTCACTTTTTAAAAAAAAAATATTATTAAACAAGTTGTCTACCTAAAAGTGTTGTCTTCTCCAACAAATAGGGCTTTTACTTCTTCTCTAGCTGGTAGTTTGTCTTGTATCATTTTTTGTTTGTAAAACGACATTGATGTTCTGTATTTAAAGTTGTTATAAAAACAAATCACTTATAGTCTAAATAAAAAAGTGGGTTGTTATATTGCCCTTAGTGGATTATGTCCCCTCATACTTTCCTTTTCCCTTTGTCCAATCTATATTACCCTCGTCCCTGTTTGTTATTTAATAATAATAATAAAATAATTTAAAAAATGAATTTTCATTTTATTTTTAATCAAACAACTTTTTTCATTTACCTATTTACATATTTTATTTCATCCTACAAACATCTTAATAATGACTTACGGTTTTGTTGGGGTTGACCTTTCATATCCATTCATGGTGTTCCATTTAGTTGTTTCATTTCAGTAGTTGAAAATCATCAAAGAATTAATTTTTAAATTTAAATTATTATTAATTTGGCTTTGATTGGCAGAGAATGCTCTATAAAGGCTATAGGCAAAATATATTTCATAATAATTTTTTGTTTTCAATGTTTGTAAAAAAAAAAAAACTTTGTTTTCATTTCTATTATTATTTTAATTAATTGTGAAAATCAAATTATTCTATTATATTATTAGATTAAAAAATAATAAAATTTATTTTTAAATAATTAAATCTCTTTCTAAAAACAAAATATTTGTTTAGGAAAAAAGAAGAATAATACAAATGTATAGGATAGATATAAACAATATAAATTACGATTTAGAAACTCAAATGGAAATCAGTTTAAAAAATAATTCTTTATTTAAAAAAATTAAAATAAAAACATAAAAAATTATTAAAATTTGACAAATTAATTAAATTTTTTGATGAAACCAATTTTAATTAAAAAATTAGAATATTTTAAAAAAATTGTTTTTTATCTCATATTAATCCATTTTAAATAATAATTATTTTATTACATATTTATTTATTATTATCTATGTCAATGTTATTATATTTTGGTATTTATAATTATTTTATAATGATTATATAATAATTTTTATTATTGTTATAATTTTTTTATTTTATTAAAAATATTACTATTAATATGTCACCGCGGACCTATCAAACGTAGTTCATAATTATGCATTTAAATAAAAAACAAAAATTCTTGCCGTCTTGTCGAAGGATGAAACACCATTTCCAAAGCTAAATATTTTATGCCCTATTTTAAATAGTTAATTGACTCTTTTTTTTATTCTTACGATATTCAAATATCTTTGCTGTATATTTAAACTAGTAGAAATATATAAGATGTACTCATTTCTATTGTGTTAAAGTTAATATATTCATTATAACAATTAATTTTTTGCTATACTTTAAAGTTAATAAATAACTAAATAAAGATTAAAATAGAAAGCAAAATATGAAATAACAAACTATTTGTTGTGTAACTGCTAAAGCAAGATATATAATGAATTTTGTTAAATAGTTTAACAAAAATGTTGCATAAAGTTAATAAATATAATTTGATTTGAAGCAGTTATAAATAATTGAGTTTTATGTGAAAAGGCAATGGTTTTGTATTGAGTGTACTTAAAAAAAATTATATACCCAAAATAAATAATCATCTTAATTATTATAGAATACTAATTCCGCTTATTAAAGATATGGTTCTGAAAAAAAGAGAGTAAAAAAATAACAAAGAAAAAATAAACATTATCACAGGAGTGTTTATTTAAATTACTTAAAAATAATATCTTTAATATGAATGTTATCTATACTTAATGAGGATTGTATTTTATGTCGGCTTTTTGGTATCATTAGAGAGAAAAAAATAGTATCATTTAAAAAAATTATAATTTATATATTAAAAAATAATAAAATATAAAAAATACATTTAAAAAAAACAAAATTTTAAAAAATAGTTTTTAAAAATTAATTATTAAAAAAATGTGAAAATACAAATGATTTAGTATGTGTGTTTTTATTAGTATATATAAATTATTTAAAATAAAAAAAATTATATACATAATTTTGACTAATTTTAAGTAAGAAATAATTTATTAGTAAAAAAAATTCCAAATGTGTTAAAAGAAACCGTTTAGTACTAATGTAATAAATATTATAATTTTGTATTCTACCTCTTTAATGTTAATCTTTATTACAAAGAAGTACTCTTTAATATTAACATTTATTACAATTTCAATCCTCTGAGTGCAACCTACACCAGAGTTATGCAAAACCGAGTTCTCCACAGATCTATGTAGACGTTTTCAACGTTCCGATGATGAATGGAAACGACCCCAAAGAGAATAATATATATATATATATATATATATATATATATATATATATATATATATATATATTCGAATAATATTAAGGAAAGTTAGAAGGTATTACTTGTGCTGACCCGTTAACACCTACTATTATTATCCTTTATATATATATATATATATATATATATCCTCACCAACAAGGTTGAAAGAAAAATGATAGTGAAGGCAGAGAAAACCATGCCTGAGGGAGTTGGGGAAGAAGGAGCTATTGGTGTTGGGTTGAAGCAGCACTTTGTGCTTGTACATGGCGTAGGTGGGGGAAGTTGGTGCTGGTACAAAATCCGGTGCCTTATGGAGAATTCTGGCTACAAGGTCTCATGCATAGACCTGAAAAGTGCTGGAATTGATCAATCTGATGCAGATTCTGTTCTGTCGTTTGATGATTATAATAAACCTCTAATCGATTTCATGTCTGCTTTGCCTGAGGATGAACAGGTGGTAATGGTATATTAATTGGTCCCCCCCCCCCTCCCCTCTTCCTTATGTCCCTTTCTCCACCTTATGTTATATGGGATATGTGATAGCATAGAGTGGTAACATCCTCTGAAATTATATCACTGATGTGATTGCTATAGGTTATATTGGTGGGACACAGCGCTGGAGGGTTGAGCATTACTCAGGCCTGTCACAAGTTTTCAAATAAGATCCGTTTAGCTGTTTATGTGGCAGCTACTATGCTCAAATTGGGATTCTTGACCGATCAAGATCATAAAGATGTTAGTCCTTTTCATAAACTCTCTCATCTGTTCTTATTCTATCTGTTTGTACAGTTATGTTTTACAATTGAATATTTGAATTCATTCTCACTCAGACACACAAAAATATATTTATGTTTCTTTCTTCAAATTGAAGTTTGGTAGTATTTGTGCTCAGGGTGAATGCGTAGTACATATGACAAATTGATAATTAAAGGAGTGTCATAAACTTTGGGGTAGAGATAGAATGTGACAGTGATGTGTTTTGGGTTCCATTTTTGTTGATAAGTGTCTTGAAGGTTTCCAGCAAGGATGATGCTGGTGCTCTGTTGAAATAATTGGTTGCCAACTGTCTTCACAAACAGATTGTAGATGGTAGTTCTTAGCCAACTCTGAGACTCACTAAATTATGTTTGTACCCACCTACTCTCAATTTTTTCCCAAGGATAGCACCATATGCAAACAAACCAGCAGCTGTTTAGCAATAGGAGAGTTTGTTTGTTCAGCATGAAAGGGACTTTTTCTAATTGGGAGTTTCTTTCTTTTCTCTATTTTACGTTATCCCCTTCTTTCCTCTCCTTTGTACAGGATAGAATTCATATTTTTTTAATTCACTATTAGCGTTATTAATTTGGTCAATGACCTTTTCTACTCTGATTACCACTTTTACAGGCTTTGACAACAAACTAGTTGAATTTAAATAATCAGTGGAAAGGACAGGCTTCTGACCCTGGGTGTTCATGGCTTATTTTATATCATGTAGAATTATTATAGAACTCTGAAAAATGATGAAAAGAAATCTAACACTAACTCAATCTCATAAAAGCCTAGACTAGAATGTGTAGGAGTAAAGCTAAACTGTCTTTATTTAAAATCATTATCGCGACTTCAATAAAGTTTCCCTTCTGTATCTGTTCTGGTTTATCCATCCAAACTCCTATAAGAAAGCAATCCTTGTATTAATGATTATAAGCAACCTTTGTTTGAAGACAGAAAATTGTCAAATCCCTTGCTCTCAATCCGACAACCTTTCTTTTACACAGATCTACTTTGTAGTTAATATCAAATTTTCACTGCGTTGCTAGAATTAATTATGACAGTAGAGTAGCTGATTTTTCTGTGACACTATATAATGGAAAGTTTTTCTGGTTTGTAACAAACAGGGTGTGCCCGACTTATCTGAATATGGGGATGTGTACGAGCTAGGATTCGGATTGGGACATGATAATCCTCCAACCAGTGCTGTGGTGAAGAAAGAATTTCAACGCAAAATCATCTACCATTTGAGCCCCCATGAGGTATATAAATATAATAAATAATTAATATCTGAAACAAAAGAAAAAAACAGGACATGCTACATATCTAGTGTTGTACTAAGTTGCAATGCAATTGCATGCAGTGTCTGTAGACCTGTTTAATAGTATGTCACTCTCGTGGGACATTAGGGAGTAGGGTACCCCACATGACATGCTTTGGCATATTGTTAATTCCATCCTCTGCTTTTGCCAAATGTAGGGCCATTTATGACAATTCATCTGAAAATAAATAATAAAAAACATGAAAAATACACTTTTTCAAATATTCCATTTCTTCTTGCTGGTGTTTGTAATAAAAAAAAAATATATAATTGTGACCATATAGAAATGAAAAGTGGAATGATGGGTCAGGATTCGACCTTGGCTGCGATGCTGTTGAGGCCAGGGCCATTGTTAGCATTGATGAATGCGCGATTCAGAGAGGATGGTGGTGAAGTAATGGAGAAGGTGCCCCGCGTGTACATCAGGACAAGGCATGACAAGGTGGTGAAACCAGAGCAACAGGAAGCCATGATAAAGAAGTGGCCACCATCTACTGTGTATGAACTCGACAGTGACCATAGTCCCTTCTTCTCTTCTCCATTCCTTCTCTTTGGCTTGCTTCTAAAAGCTGCAGCTTTGGATGTTGGATTGAGTGCGACTGGTTAGAAGACTGCGACCTCCATGCTTTATTTCTTCATTGCTCTCCAACTCTCTGAAGTGGGAAGTCAATTTGATAATTGCTTTCATATAATATATATACATTAATTGTAATTATCATGAATAATATATAAATTATCATCCTATCTATTTCTCCCATGACTTTCTTATTCACACGTTTTATTTTATTTAATTCAGATATGATTCTTTCTAATAAAGTATGCATGGATATAAAAGAGATTGAATGTATATGTGAAAAATAGAAAAATAAAGTGAGTGATGATATAGCTTTTAAAATATCTTATATTATGATTGGTTATCTTATAAATATTAACATTATTTTAAAATAAAAATCTATTTTTTTCTTTGCATTTCTTTTAGATTAAAAGTTATCTTTTTATTTTAGTTTTTTCTTTTCTTTTCTATCGACTAAGGTTTACCCTTTTATTATTAGTCAAAAATATATTTTATCTCACGAATTTTGTTGGAAAAGACTCTCACAAAAAAATAAAATAAAAAAATATATATATAATTAAAATCTATATAATAATTAAATTTTTTCGTTTTTAATATTTTTTACATTATTAATTTATTTTATTTATTTACGTTTTAAATATATTCACATCTTTTATCTACTCATTATATTTTATCATACTTTTTTCAACCATTTTTCCATTGATTTTATTATATTATCTTTCTCTTCTTATAAGCATTTATATGTTTGACACTTTTCTTTTTCTCTACAATAAAAAAACATTATCAAAAAGATTTTTCTTATATATAATTAGTTAATCTTATTAATTTTTTAAAATAATTATTTAATTTTTTTTTAATATATCACATTTCTCTTTTCATTTTTATATATTTGACACATTCTTTATTTTTTTATTATTATATTTTCCCTCTTTATCAATAACATTTGTAAATAACATATATAAACTATGATATCGGTGAATTTTTTTATATATAATATAAATAATAAAGATGATATATTATATTACAATTTTTTTCTCTCCAACAAATCATATAAAAAAATTATTTATACATATAATAAATATTAATTATTTTTATATAAGTAGATCGAATGTATTTTATTTTATATTAAAAAATAATATATATATTTTACTTCGTATTTTTAATATTCTTTATTCTATAACTAAATTTCATGTGTGCTTCACCCTGTGACTGTCACGTGCCGAAAGGTCTCAGAACACACTAACTAATTTCATGTAATGCTTTCCGCCAATCAACTTATTGCAAATAATATTGTTAAAAAGTTTATAAAGATAATTTTGAATTTGTTATTATTATAATTATTATTAAAAATAGATAAAATAATTATTAACAACTATTATCATAAAAATAAATATAACAATAATTATATTTATAATTGTTAATTGCACCTAATACTTAATTACTATCATCATAAGTGACATATTTTAACCATTATGTATATGATTTTCATTTTTCTAAATGTTTAATCTATTTTATAGTTAGTCTAAAACTTGCATTTTATAATTATATAGTCGGTTCAAAATTATAGGTAAACAAATTTAAAGTAACTAATCAGTCACACACACATAATTACAAGCAAATTATCTAATATTAATTTCCATGAAATATAAAAATTATTACTTATAAACAATCAACAAAATTTTAACTTGTAAATAACATAAAAATCCTATCTCTAAAATTTTTTGTCAAAATTGAAATTATCAAAACTATATACAAATCATAACATAATTATCCTAAGATGTTAAAAATATTAATATTACCTACCACGTGTGTCTAATATAGTTCAAGATTTTTATGCGAAAAACTATACTATGGTTGTATAAGTCGCCATTAAGTAATGAACAATTAATTTATATTATCTTTTTAGAACATTTTTTTTTTTTTTACTTTTGTTCCTACCTCTATGAATAACTTTTAATATGGTAGTCGTACATTAAATTATATAATAATTATACTTATATCATTTCATTACCATTCAAAATAAACATAATTAAATAATTTAATTGATAAAAAAATAAACAAAAAATTATAATTTAAATATCTTAATCACAATCTATAAATCTAATAATTTTTGTTAAGATAGGTCTGACGGGTACAGTCTATCTAAAAGATGATCTCATAATTTTAATTATCTCGCCTAACCAGACAACTTAGTAATTAACCTCGTACTTTGCTTAAAAAAATATATTTATATATTAAAATAAAATATAATTAAAAATATTATAATTTTTTATGTCATATTATCAAAAAATATAAATATATTATAATATTATAATTTAAATTATAAAAATTAATCAATTAAATTTAAATTATTAATTATAATTATTTATTTTAACATATAAATATAATACTTTTTTTAAATTATTAGATAAAATATTAATTAATAAATAAAATTTAAAAATGATTTATATAATTAAAAATATATTAATATATATATATATATATATATATATATATATAAATAAATAGTTAATGATGACACAAAAATATATGATAGAAAATAAATCTATTACCTCTGACCGGTGATGTATATTTGTATTTTAGGTTTATTTATTTATTATTTAGAAGAATGAGTTGCCAGTGTTATGTTTCTTCTCTCATTCACGCATATTCTTACTATATATCTATAAGAAATAACATACTGATTAATAAATTATTTAACTAATAAAATTATAACAACTTTTATTTAAAAAACTTACATTATCCATATCTACGTAATAAACATATTATGCTCATGATTGATAAAATCTCCAATACATTCAACATGTGTACATATAATGAAATAATTTTTTTTTTCAAAAATAATGATAAAAAAAACATTATTATTTAGGTAAGGATAAAAAAAAATTGAAACTTGAAGAAATTGGGAGAAATGTGTGGAGTGCATGAAATTGAGAATAATTGAAATGAGTGGCATCCAATTCGATAAGAAAAGAAACCCACGAGTGATAGTAATGGTTTTTGGCATGGATTTGAAAGACAGGGAAAACAAAAAATGGGGTCTCGGGGATTTCATGTTTCCTCGTGTAACATCACGGTGGATTTATCCAGGGAATCTTACTGTACATTCTTATCAACTTCTGTTCTAAGTCCCATTATATGCATGGCACCACATGTTCTTTCAAATCCTTGTCATGTGAAGAGAACATGTTCTATAATTCACAATTTATATGCCACAATAATTTACAGGCGTTTGATGGTTAATATGAAACTTGGCATAATCGTTTTTAGATAAAATATTCACGTTTGGTCACGTTCGTCATAAAAAATAAAGTCTTATTTTATTTATATATATTCTTTAATCTTTGAATATGAATTTCAAATAATTTAAAATTTGATATAAAAGATAATTTAAATATATTATATTTTTAAAATAATTAATATGTTTTTTAAAAATAAAATCTTAACAAAACAAATAACACTTTATACATAAAAATTAACTCTAACTTATATTTTGTTATATATATTTACTTGAAAATAAAAAAAAATTATTTTAAATTTTAAAAATTATGTATATATATATATATATATTTAATCTCATATAAATTACTTAAAAAAAAGAATAATTTAAAATTAAAAAATTATATATATATATATTTCTAATTTTAAATAAGTTATATATACTATTCATAATAAAATACTATTTTAATTACAATTAATCCATACAAAAGATTTTGAAGATTTCTCATATAAAAATTATATATATATATATATATATTTTTTCTTTTCTCTTAATTATAAAAATATTTTTTAAATACAAATGAATAACAATGTCTTTTGAAACACATTTTGTGGAAGAAACATATTTCACAAAACTGGCGTAGTAAAATGTAAATTATTTATTTGTTTTAGAGAATGTTGTTTGAGCTTGGGCTGGGACCCACTAGCTCCAGAATCCATGTGGTGTGTTTGGCATCGAATATGAGAGATGGGCCATTCTGGTCAGCAATAAACAGGCCTTGTTAGGGTCCAAATCTCGATCACTGACATGCGAATATTTGTTCATCAAAAACCTACTTTTATTAATATGCAATGCTCTGAAATCTGAACGATACGTTCGTAATAACTTTGCTGGAAATGTTTGCAAAACCCAATAAAAGAGACATCGATTCATTTATTCGTGTTAAAATATTATTATTAAAAAATAATATACTTTTATAAAAAACTATGCATGTCTTTGTTTACTATTAAAATACATTTTTTTTAATTACAAACTAAAGTTTCTTTAATAGCTTCAATTTCTTTACAATACGTTATTCCATTTCGACTAAACATTTATCCAGCAAATTTACTACAAATTTAGATCACCATCCTTCCATTTCAAGATATATGATCCACCTATAATCAAATAATAAATAAAAAAAGTCATAACAAAAATAAAAATAAAACTTTAACTCATCTTAGTTTTTATAATCTTTGTTGAGTTATAACGATTTCATTTTCATTATCTTATTCAATATTTTTTTTCTTAATCTATTTTATAAATGAATGATATTTTTTAATAATTATGTATATTTTTTTATTATTAAAAATTAAGAGGATTGAATTTGAAATTTTACAATTATTTAATTTTATATTCGATATGCTTAATATCTGACATGAGAGATATATTGGAAATCACACATGTTATATAACCAAATTATAATATATTATAAAATATAAATCTCTTTATACAAATTGATTGTATAGAATTAAATTAAATTTAAATTTATTTTTAATATGATACTAGAGTACAGTACGGAGGTTAGAGATGTAGTGAAAATGGTCAAAATATCTAATTCTCCATTAAAAATATTTATTCCGAATATGATAAAATAAGTTGAAGATACGTTAAATGAAAAAAAAATTATAATATTATTTTTGATTGAATTTATAAAAAAATTTATCACTGAAAAAATAGAAATGAATAAGTAATTTGTAATTTTCTCTTATAAATATATGACATGTAAAAAAGATAAAGAAGCATGAACACTTTTCATATAGATATTATGAAAATATTAGAAGAATAATGAATGTTAAAGAATAATATAATATCTAATTAATAATTATGACGTTGAATCATCTAACTTATCCGTTTATTTAGTCTTATTTAAAAATATATAGAAGAAATCTCATTTTCAATCAAAATCTTATTTCCTCCCTCTATCCTTCTCTTATTTCCACCCAGAACTTGAAAGGAAAAGAAAATGCAACTTCATAAAAAGGAGGCCTTTGGTCTGCAAAATGGAGCTTGAATTGTTTCCTCTTACTGAACAGCAATCAGCCAAATCTTTCATAACTTACAAATAATGTAAAACATGAAGGAAGCTGTTACGGCCAACATGGAGAAAAACATTAGTATTTTACAATGAAACATGCTTATTAATTGAGGACAGAACAAAATATGAGAACACCCCATTTTCTAGAAATCTTATTGCTTTCCCTCTCAAACATAGTTTGGCAGGAAAAGATAAAAAGATTCATCATGGTGTGTGAACATTAGACTCGGACTCACAGGATATTCGGTTCTTCAACTCAGGATGCTTAATTTCCTCTAACATTCTAACAACTTCATCCATTCTAGGCCTATTTTCTGGCCCCTTAGCTACACATGCTAATGCAATCTGGAGCATCTGCACCATTTCCTCTTCAACATACTGCCCTCTCAGAAGCTCCTCATCAAACACTTCTGCAGTCCATTCCTCTCTCACAACAGACCTCACCCACCTTGGAAGATCAACCACATCCTCATATCCGGGATACCTCAGTGGGGTCTTCCCTGTCAACATTTCAAGCAGCAGCACACCAAAGCTGTATACATCAGACTTCTGAGTGATCTTCCTTGTGTCGGTGACTTCTGGTGCTCTATAGCCATTGGCCCTGGACATGGTTGCTGGGGCGTTCATTAGAGGTGGCAATCCAACATCAGAGATGCAGCTGTCTAGTTCTTGGGTTATGAGCACATTGTTTGACTTGATGTCGCCATGTGTGAATTTTGGACCCCCTTCAGAGTGGATGAAAGCAATGCCCTTGGCAGCTCCAAGCAAAATCTTCACTCTGGAATCCCAGTCTAGTGGGGTTCTTCCTGCACCCCTGTTTCCTGTTTTTTGGAATACAAGAGGTAGGGAAACCAGAGAGATAATATTGTTACAAATGAAGTTGATAAATAGTACATGTGACAATGTATCAGGTGCTGAAAATATGTAGTTTGACACGGACTGTTAGGGTAAAAGTAGAACAAAAAATATAGTACATGTGACAACTATCGAATTAAAGGCATAATTTTGAAAATGTTAAAGATGTTGAGTAAATAGTGTTTTCACTGATAATGCAAACGTTTTTTTATTTTATACTATTATCTAATTGTAAACTAATATATATGGTAAATTTGTCAATTTTCAATTACTTAAAAGTGATAACAATGATTATTTTTTATAGGTTGAAGGTCTAAATGAAATATTTTAATATCGAGAGTCAATGCTATGATAATATTTTCGGGTGGGCTGTATTGAGGGGTTATCTAACCATATTGGCATGAAATCCCCCATGACATCGTGGAACCAAGTTGGTTATACTGTCATTGTCAGTTCCAGTTCCTACTTGAATTTAATGAACAATGATTGATACCCAGAAAAGTTTATTATAATAGTTTAGTTAAAACCGAGAGGCATCATGTAGAATCATAAAACATCTTACTTTTGAAGAAAATGGAAGAGTTTTGTCATCACTTAGAAACGTACCATGCAACAAGAAAAACAAGCTACCACCAGGCATGTAGTTGTAAACCAGAAGTTTCTCATCTTTGGAATAGTAATAGGCCCTTAGGGGCATCACATTGGGGTGGCTTCCAAATCTCCCCACAATCTCTAACTGCTGCTCAAACTCCTTCTTTCCTACCACAACTTCTTTCAACCTTTTAACGACCACTGTTGTTCCCTCCTCCAAAACAGCCTTGTATGCTGTTCCATAACTTCCTTTTCCAAGAACTTCAGCTGAAGCCTTCAGCAAATCCTCAAGGTCAAAGCTATAAGAGGAGCCTTCAAAGAAAAAGAGCTTGTTTTTTTCTGCCCCTTGCACCCCACTACCAAAACTCTTTGAAACCTCGGTCTTTCCGGCACAAGAAGCCTTTCCTTTCAGTATTCCACTGCTTTTACTGTTCTTCTTCCTCTTCAGACAGAACACACAGATCACTACAACTAGTAGAGAGAGGAAGGCAAAGACCCCAATGACTAGGGCAAGGATAGTAGCCAGGCCAAAGCTTTTCTTATGGTTGGTACCTTTTTGGTTTTGGGTGGTTGGTGGAGTGATTGGCTGGTAATCATCTGTGGAAGGAGATGGAGAAGGGGAGATTGTAGAGCAATGATTTAGTGGTGGCCCACACAAGAGAGAGTTCCCAACAAAAGAAGAATAAGGGAATGTCTTTATGGAATTTGGAATTGAGCCATTCAAGTTATTATAGCTCAAGTTCAAAAATTTGAGACTTGGAAGGTTGAAGTCAGGAATAGCCCCAGATATGGAATTGTTTTGGAGATACAACCAAGTGAGTCTTCTCAGGTTCTGAAATGCAGGTGGGATGCTGCCAGAAAAGGAGTTAAAGGAAATATCCAATGCAAAGAGTTTACGTGACACAAGAGAAGGAATTGGGCCAGAGAAGCTATTGTGCTGAAGGTATAGAAATTGGAGTGAAGGAATGGAGAGGATGTTAGAAGGAAGTTTTCCGTTAAGGCCATTGGAATGAAGACTCAGGACCCTAAGAGCATCTAGTTTTCCTATGCCGTTCTCTGGAATGGTTCCAGTTAATCCCATTCCTGGAAGGTGAAGGCCTATGACACGTGTGCCATTTGAGTTGCATGTCACACCAACCCATGAGATGCAAATTGTGGAAGAGTCATTCTTCCAGTTGAGCCTTGGGGCATGTGGGACACTTGAAGCAAACTCCAACAGAGCTTGCTGGTCAGACTTTAAGTCAGCTACAATAAGGCCACAGAGAGATAGTGTGGAGCCTAATAGAACAAGTGCAACAATAGAGAACAGCAACTTCATGGTTATAGTGTGAACTAAATCAAGGCGAGTGGTGGTTCCAGCTTCTGAGCTTAACTGTTCTTCATTCTTTCCTGCTCTGGCTTTGGAAGTTGCAGCAAGTTGTTAGCTGATCCTGTACCTAAGAAAGTACAATATGTTCAAAGTTCAAATTAACTGATTTTTGTTCAGACAAATGGAATCATTTGGATAAGCATGATCGAATGAACTTAGCCTAAAATCAGTGATATTTTAAATTTTAAAATGTAGCACACACAAACAGGAAGTGTTTGTTTAGTTTACATGATGAAAGAGGTAGGAAGAAAAATTATGAATTTAGAAATCATAGAGGGTTGAATTAAAAAAAATTGAAATAACTTGTATCTCCGAAAGTCTGAATTTTAGTATACGAAAAGTTTCCTGTTTATGCAGAAAACTAAAAACATCAGTTATGGCAGATTTTGCAAAGATTTAAAAAATGAAACAAAATAACACAGTGTCATGCATGCTTGGTTACCATTTACAAAGGAAGGGAACTTCCTTCTTTCAAATGCATCAGTTGAGGTATTTTCTTTCTTTCAATAGTTGAAGTGTTATTCTGACTCCTTCGTTTAAAAAGAAAAAGTAAAAAGCCAAAGGTTTGCCTGTGAACTTTAAATAATGGGGGACTAAAGTGCATTTTTCATTGAGAATAAAGAAATTGCCTCACAAATCGGTGGTTATAAGTTTCAGAAACAACCAAGAAGGGATAAGTGAACAAAAAAAAAAAGGAAAACGAAGGGCATTGTGATAGTTGAGAATCCAAGAAAAAATAGAACTGAAAAAGAAAAAGTTAAAGTTTGATTCTCCATTGTACTTTATAAAGATAAAGCATTCTTTCCCTAAAGTAGAACGCATTCTCATAATTTATAAAAGATCAACATAAATCATTGGTGTGGATTTCTCGGTTTGCCTCCTTATCTGGTCAGTGAATACTGCAGAAAGGTCATTTTAAAGCACAGAAAAATATTTGATGAACCAGATTTTGACACGCACAGAAACAAAGGATAATTAAAGGGATGCAGATGGGTCAAGCGTTGCATTAAACAACTCAAAGCTAACACAACATCAACATCTCAACAAGAACAATTTGCTGATTCCTCGACTGAAAGCAAACAAAACAAAATATTTGTCCATCATCCCAATTAAATAAAATATTAAAAGTAACAAGAAAGAATTGAATACATAACAAATCCCATTAGAAAAATTCTCCAGTTTCTAAGACATATATAACCAGAAGAGACTTAAAACTTCAATCATGAAGAAGGATAAAAACATTATAGGGATCAGGACCCGAGAACAGTTAAGTGATGATTTAAAACAATGAGCATCTGCAGTCATGGATAATGTCATATTAAGTATTCCAAGTTAGTGACTGCAAGTATCATGTCTTCAACATGGAATTTGAAGGAGTTGAGAGATGTTACCTTAGCATGAAATTCTGTTCTGGGAGGCTGAGAAGACCTCACAGAGTGAAGCATCACTGCACAAAAAATGAGTAGGGAAATATCATCAAGGTCAAGAAGAAAGCACGTTAATTAGTAAAGCAAAGCACAGTGTGAAATGGAGCGGAATAGTACTTCACTATTTATGTGCATACAAATCTAGTATGACTTGCAACTTTAAAATTGAGAGGGAGCCTAGTTTCACTTAAAAGTTACTTACAACTCAGCACAGTTGGTGGCATCAGACTTGGCATTACAGTGTTACCAATAATAACAGTATGACTTCTTCTCTTTTCAAGAGATTCACACACAGCTGAAAAGAGAGGGTAGCTGAATGTCTTGATGAAAACACGGAAGAAAAAAAAAAAAAACAACTTTGCTACTGACTAGAGAATGACAGCAATAATGAGGGAGTTAACCAGCAAGTCTTTCATCTAACTAACTTTAGTACTAGTGCATTAATATCCACCTGCTGCTGTTGAAAATGGCCCAACATAAAAGGAACAATGCATGAATTTTGTAGATCTAATCGAATGGAAAACAAGTACAAAGACCACCGGGGCATAAATAAGGATTTGCTGACATGCCATTCAGAAAACTACTGAAGAACCGAATAACAGAGTACTTTAAATGTTATTTCACTCTCTCAACAAGACTGAGATATTAACTCTTCTGTTTCTCTCTATAGTTACAACTTTCATAGTACTCCAACTCCCTCAGATATAGCAGGGGTCAGAATTTTTTGGCAAGGGGTATGATCCAATACTCCGTCAAAACTAGCAATAAGGAAGGACCTCCCCCAGTGGTTATGATTGAGTAGGAAACCTTTCTTGAAGGAGTAGTTGCAGGTTCATGAAGAGGAAAATGATTGACATAATTGCTTGTTTTGAATTCTTACTAACATTAAAATCCGTCATAATGGTCCCCATGAAAATTAATTAATTAAAACAATAGGGCACCATGGTGAGCACTTAAGTATTACACACTAAAACATTTATTATCGTAGAGGCCATGATCAGGGAATGAGGGAATGAGAATCAGCTAAAAACAGGTCTTTCTTAACTATTCCATTTGATTATGAATATTTTCCAAAGTGCTTTTATTGTGGCTTGACTACAGAGAAGTAAGAAAAAAAACGACTATTCATTCATGAAGTTGGTAGGAATAGGATAAAGGTGTGAACAGAAACTAAACATTTAAAATTGGCACATATTGGCTATGTTTGTGAGAGGGAATAGACCATAATGGGGCCAACCGTGTAATGAGTCACCCATAAAAACACGAAGAAGGTAGTTGGCTGTTACATAACCATCTCAAATCCTTTCCTTTCCTCCCTTCCACACTAATCGTGATGCTACTTTAGCTATAGGTGTGCTGTCACTCATAACTCATCATGTCAACATGAATTGTGCATGACACCTCTCTGAATCGATGCAGAATAAACGAGTAATTAAGAGAGAATTTTGATAAATAAAACAGCAATTTTACATTGAACGCACCACATTAGTGGTGATCTTAACAATCTTATTGTGCTGGCATCAACTAGTACATATGGATCAACTCGTAGTTTAATCAGTAATTTCGAATTAGAGTTTGTACAACTGCTTTAAATAAAGCATCAGTGATAATATATTTTGCTTGTTCTATTACAGAAAGTGATACTTCTAACTAACCAAAAACCTGGAGAAGTTTATTAAATAAAAGGAGAGTTTCATTAAGAAATTTAATAAATTTAACCAATAATAAAAAAAATTGTTGAAAAGGGTTCTGGTAATATTTCTTCAGTACTGAAAAAAACGACATCCCAAAAGGTTTCTCATGACAAGACACCGGTCGTGTACAAGTGAGAAAATTAATTTAACACTTTTCTATAAATTTTAGAATTTATCTAATCAGTTCCAGATGATTATCTGTTGAGCATTTCCATGCGAATGCTTAATAGTTAACCCTGACACTGTTGTATATGTGTTCATATATGATATAAAGAGCAATAATGTTGAAGATGGAGGTGGAAGAAGGGACGTGAGGGTGGACAGATAGTTGAAGGGCATGAAGTCACATTCAGATATAGCTATGAGACAACTAAGATAAGTGCCTCATTAATATCAAAAGCAACTTGAGTTGTCCATTTCTCGCTTCTATTTCAGACACAGTGGCGGTGGTGTTGTAAATTCTTCAATTCCTAGCTATCAAAACTGTCATTCAATGAACATAAATGTGCTTACGAAGCTGTTGCTTACTATTCCTTTTATTTCCAATCTGTTGATATTTTTTAGTCCTCTTTTTGGGTGTTCAATATTGATATTAAAAGTTAAGAAATTATTAATTGACATATATTTCATCTAAAATACCTTAATTTAGACATCTTCCAGTTGCAATATCAATTATCTTGATTCAGATACTTGGAAAAATAATCATTAGATGTTTAATTTTAAAAACTTCGATAGTTTCGGAACAAAAAAAAGAAAGAAAGACATCAATAGGTATGAAACCAAGTATGAAGTTTTAATAAGCATAAACTATCAATATATATTTTTTATATTGTTAATTTAAGAAAAGCATCATTTACATGATTTTTATATGATGGCATAAAAAATCACACTATATTATTTGTTTCCAAAAAAGTTGTATTATTTTTTTTTCTGTAAAACTCTGTTATAATGAAAACAGAAAAAATATAGAAAATTATTAAACGTATAGATTGAATTATTTTCATGATACCCAAATTAAAATATATATCATATGTAAAAGCCATAAATAGGACAAAAAAAAAATAATACCACCAAGGATATCTATTTTATAAGAAAAGTTATTTTACTTTGTCTGAACAAGACTGAAAAAAAAAAAGAAATTCTTGTTGTTTCTTTCATCAAAGGGAAGAAAATAATATTAAAAATGACAAAAAAACTTAAAAAAAAATCATTTTTTTTTCTTATGTACATTTTTTCTCTTCAATTAAACAGTAAATTTTTTCAAATTTTAAAATTTTCTTTCCATTACTATTTTATTGCCTTCCAGTTTGTAAATGTGACCTACATTTTTTACGCTTCACTGTAAATTGGCCGATGTTGTTTTATGTTATCTACTTTTTTAACTCTGCAACCGAACTGGTCAGCTCAGAGCACCCTTCTAGTTTTACTTTAGAATTCAGCACCCACTGTAACTTGTAAAGAGGTACCAGTGACACTGAGAATCATTGGAAACTCGAAGAACAAAACTAGAAACAACTTTCAAGGGTTGGGGGCAGGTGGTCCACACTTAGGTCCCTGAAATGACATCCAACCATGGCAGATAGTAACCATATCGTGGACAAGGATTATACACTTGAGACAACGCAATATCGAAACCAACAAACGCTGAGTCCATTCCCCTGCACTTTGATCCCTGTCAGCTTTATTTTCTCAACTTTGGTTCAGATAAACTTGGCCTTTTGTGTTACAAGGGTTTCTATCTAGGTAAAAATCGAACTGATACAAAACAAAATGTGTTGTAAAAAACATCAATTCCTGCAATCAACAAGAAAATAAATCAGAAGAGAAACCTATCGAAAGCCTGTTACTAGGTACCACTCTTTTCAAGCTTTTCAATTTCTTCACGCTGCTTTCTTTCAGCCTCCTGACGTTCTCTTTCAGCATCTTCCTCTTCCTCAATCTCATCAAGATCATCAAATTCCTTGGCTGCCGCCATTGCCTTCACTACGGGGTCTCTTAGCTCGGATATTAGGCCCCCACCAATCCTGTACTCTTCTTCATCCCCTATTAGATACAGTCGCTGGTCTGGACCAGAAGCCATGGGAACATCAATGGCCAGTAGCTTCATATCATACTGCAAATGGACATAATGGGAAAATTAAAGTAAGCATACCCTGAAGCAACAACTAACTCTTTGCATTTTACATTTTTTTTTTCTCTTGAGAATGACTATTGCCAATAATTCCACAATAATAATTATAAAGGGGTAAAAAAGAGAATGGTTTTGTCAAGCAAAAAAAATAAAATTCTATTTGTCGGAAGTACATATAGGTAATGGATGGGCACAAATATAGGGAAAACTACCTAAGGGGATGAAGCCAGAACCACCCAGTCGGAGGGGGAGCCAAAGTTGAACATTTAAAAATGTCATGTAGCCTTTCAAATGTTACAAATTAGTGGGATAGATTTTCGCTGATTTTTAATAATCACTAGCGTCACCTCAAAGAAAACTACTATGCTAATAAAAAATGTAATTTGAAAAAAACTCTAAAGCTAAAATCTACTTGATATAAATAAGCTTTTCTATTTGATTTGAAAGTAAGTACTAAAATAAAAATTATATATCTTAATCACATTAAAAAATGACATTTTATGACTAGAGGCCTAAAGGATATTGCAGAGAAATTCGGAACATATACTGAAGTTCACATATTGTATCAATTGCCTCCACCTGCTCCAAAGTAACTTGGGGGATATTGCTAGAAACGAAACCATGCTATATTTGCACATATAAATAACTTCATAGGGAATATCTACATCATGCATTTAGCTTGACAGTATTTTCAGTTCAGTAACAGTTTTATATTAGAATTAAACACTTTTTCATCCATTCTGATCACTCAACCAGAAGAAAGATTAATAACCACAACATAGTAGATGTTGAAGTTAATTTTGCACCATGAACATGTTCAGATAAAAAGAAGCAAAAATCAACAGAAATGTTGGCAACTTTGCATCAGCAATGGTACTTTCGTGGTAGAAGTGAGATGTATTTCAAAACAATCAACCAATCCACATAAACAAGACATCATTCTTATCAACAGAATTTATGGTAATAACAAATTATTTACTATTATACATTTATTGTATTTTTTACAATTATTAATTTAATTAGAAAATCTATTATAAATGTATATATGACAATTTAGCTATTTTAGTGGACTTAAAATTAGAATGATAATTTGTAATTAAATAATATTTATGAGAATTTTCTAATGGAAGAACACACCATTGTTGACCTATTATTTTGAATTTCAGAATACTGTTCATCATATCTTCCTTTATAATTTAACAATTCTTCACATTTGATCCCTTTTGAATGTAACTTCAAAATGGAAATATAGTAATAGTTGCCTCTTTCACTATCCCCTCAAAAGCTTAGCTCTCATTAAGCTTCTGTTCTCACTTCTTAAATATATCGAGATACAACTACAAGTATCATGATTTAGATCATTTTGGGTTGTAATATGAGCTGCTTTAATTTTTTGGGCATGCAAATGTCAGTGTATTACTTTTCAGCTCTGGGTGATTTGTATGAAGACCAGATCCTCTCCTCTCGATCAGTCTGTTAGTAATGCAAGATTCAAGTTTAAAGTATGTTTTTTTTTTATTTTCTCATTAACAACAAACCCATTCCTCTGTTCACGAATCCATCCCAACTGATGATTAGAGACAATATCCATAGCATCCTTGGACAGCAAACTGTTAAGCTATTCCTATGTGATGTATTTATATGGTGTGGCAAGTTGCTAGCCACTCAATCATCTAACTGCTACGCTTTTTTTTCGTATATAAAAGAATAAATTTATAAAGACAAAGAACTAAAATACATGGAATTTAGAGCATAAGAAATCCTCCTTAGCCAAAAAGGAATAAAGAATGTAGCCGACCCTATGGAAAAAGACTTCGTTGTTGTACACAACAATGGAGCAAGCATCTCAATCCCTGAACATAATCCCTTTCAAACATGAGCATTATTCTCCAAGCCTCCAACCAAATGTGCCAAAAAGTAGCAAAGATAGCACATTACTGTAAAGATTTAGCTCGATGCTATGTTCACTAAAGCATATATTATTATCATATGTCAAGGTAAATTTTGCAAAATAAACATCCCAAATGCATATACATATCTTCCTGTTCAGACATTCATAAACGAACCCCTCATTTACTGGAGTAAAGGCTGTATAAATCTATTGATTTACAATATGAAAAAAGAAAAAGTAAAAACTCAACAAAAATGTTTGAAGCTGAGATTCTCTTTACATGCTCAATGCAGGATATTTTGTATGTTTACATTTGGTTGCTTATATAGATCTTGGACTGGCAAGTTTCACCAACATTCATGCACCGAAAAAATGCGATGTGGTTATTGAAAAGATATTTATCATACAACACATATGGAGGCGGAAATACCATTCACCAGATAAGAAATTTTCCAAGATATGGAGCAACAAATTGTACCTAACTCAATATTACCATTTTTTGAAGCAAAAATAAAATGTTGAGTCGCATAGGGGAAGCAATAAATGTCAACATAAGACTAAAAAATTCTGTGAAGTGATTTTCTAGTATAAAATTAGTTTACCTGGCCATTCTTTTTCTTGACTTCAACACTGACTAGTCCCTTTTTCTCAGACCCTCTAATGGGGAAAATGAGGAAACACCGCTTGCTCCTAATACTCGGCTTGAATTTCTTTAAGGTGAGGCCACCCCCTGACATGACATAGGCTCTCAAATCAGTTCCAGAAAGAGGCGCACCCATAACTTCAAGAATCCCAGCAGACGTGTTAAGTCTCGTCATTGCCATTCTATAAACTTTATCCGGATTGATTGCGAGCCTCGAGCGGATATACAAGCCCTTAAAGACAACACGAATTAAACACAATTAGGCAATGCCCCACTCCATGCACCATTCATTCATTCATGAATCACAACAAGTTCCATCACCAGCATTTCCAGTCTTAAACGAAGATGTATATGTTGGATGTTTGGATTTTCACTAGGAAGAGCTCAAAAGTAATTTAATCTCAAAGGATCATTCTTCATTTTCATTATGTGCAATAAAATTGGGAAATGTGCATCCATATTCACAATAATACTTTCCTAACTTCCATCCAATCGTAGCCCAAGTTGTTACTAATACCCGAATGGAAGAGTTTGTATTGCATAATAATAATAATAATAGTCGAAGTAGCCAAGAACATGTGAAACAAGTTGGTGAAAGAACTTACAGTAAAAGCAACGATAGCAGATGAAAGGGCAAGGAATCCATACTTAGCCAAGCCTTCGGAGATTCCAACGAAGAGGTTAGCGACTCCGAAGAGGATCCTCCACAGAACACCGCAAAGGATAACTCCACCAGCGCCCAACAGAAAGAGGTAGTTCCTCTTGCAAAATGACTCGATTTGCAACCCAATTGCCTCCCGGTACCGCGAGAAGGCCGAGCTCACTGCGGCCGCGGGTTTATCAAGCACCTTCTGCGCAAAGCCTTTGGGGAAATTTGAGGAGAAGAATCGGAAGGTGCTATTGCCCAGGCGTTGTTGTGGATGGAAAATAGGCGAAGGGGAGCGGAACACGGCGGCATCGGAGAAGGAGGGACGACGGAGAAGGGGGCGCTGATTGATGGTGCCGCGGAGTAAAGCTTGGAATTGGGTGATTTTTTGCGAAGATGCCCTTGACATCTGCATTTCTGTTTTTCAAATAAACGAATCACAAACGCAAACGCCGTGCTGTCAACTGTGAAATTCACAACACAACACAACACCACTTTCTGTCGGGTCAACCCTTTCCACCTAACTGCCCGACCCGACCCGTTACAAGCTAATAATGGTCATGAAGGGGGTGGAAGGATGTCAGGAATTTCAATAATCTGCCAAAAACACCCATCCATTTAAACTGCTAAACCATATAAGGATTAATTCATAAGAGTTCTCATGTACCACCAATCCCCTTCCATTTCTTGTACAGTACGGTCACTTACGTTAATTTTTATGCACCTTAAAAAATTTTAGATTGTGAATCAATAAAAAATAACTTTAGATGCGATTTTTAACTCCGATCACATAACATAATTTATTATAAACTACATAGCATCCACCTTACCCTGCTTTTCCATTAAATTCATGTAACTATATAGTTTTTTTCCCATGTTTAATGACACTATCCACGTCCAAGCTGCTAACTCTTTGATTCCCGAGGATTGTGCACCTACCTATTTTGTCGAGTTTTAGTCTCTCCTCCTCTCTGTTTGCACTCTGGAATCTTACATCATTTCAAGAATTGTATGGAAGTTATGGGTACGGTTTACTCTAGTACTCCGATACATTTATAAATAATTTTCTTTCAACTCTATAGCTGCATCATATAGTCTGTATTAAATTTATAGTATTGCTTGATTATTCCTGATGTGGTTAAACCTTTTTTTTTTTCTTTTTCTCAAGACACTATATGTTACTCTAAAAGACGAAGAGCAACCAGTTGTTTTCAATTAAGATACAATGGTAAGCTATGTGATGAATCATAACTTTTGCACTGCGCTGCTATCAAACAAAACCTAAGGCATGGAAATCCTAACAAAAAATAGCATTTATTCCATTCATGATGGTTCTTAAGAGATGAGATAACTCAATATAGCTTTAATACTAAGGGAGAATAAATAAAAAACTCGATTTGAGTCGAACACAACTATTGTGGTCAAAACCCACTTTGCTAAGTAACAGTCATTTAAGCAGTAGCACTCGACAGAAAAGCTCTTCCAGGTTGACGGTTTGCCAGTGGTCCATGGCACCCAAGAAGCTGCAAGACCGCATGAAGGAAATTTTAAATTAGACAAGTTCAAAAAATAGATCAATCGAATGCATAAGCAAAAATGTTTCTTCGAACAAATTCAGAACCAAGTGCGAACATAGATATAAACAAATAAATGACCTCGAGCATGAAGAACACAGTATGCAGTCAAATTTCAATATGTTCGATTAGTACATCGACAAGCAGGTGCAGGTTTGCGTTACCTTAGCATTCACACCATCAGGCATAATCTTGTTCTCTGACTTGTACTTGAGATAATCAGCACGGCTATATTTGGTGAAACCCCTGAATAAGCATTTAAAACAACAGTTACAGTCAAATCAAATGCATAAAAGAGATCCTAACGACAAAGGACTGAAATAAAGAACTCTAATCAAAACCTTTGACCAAACAGGCAGTAATACCATCCCAAATAATCACAGGAAGGCAATGGATAAAAGATATAAGGATTTGTTTCAGAAAACATAAAATATATTCTTTTTAATTCAAATCAAGGTATTATTACGACACAAACTTTACTCAAGTAAAAAAAATGGTCTTAGTTAAACTAGAAGTATTAATGTTCAGATGTAAGATATTGCTGTCAAAAGAACTACTATTAATATTTAATACATACCACTTCCTGCTAACTATGATCTTCTGACGACCAGGGAACTTGAACTTAGCACGACGGAGGGCCTCCTGTGCATGATGACTGTTACTGTCCTTACAACGGACAGAAAGAAGGACCTGACCAATGGCCACTCTAGCACATGTACCCTGTGGCTTTCCAAATGCACCTCTCATACCAGTCTGAAGCCTATCAGCTCCAGCACATGAAAGCATTTTGTTGATCCTAAGAACATGGAAAGGATGTACCCTGACTCTCAAGTGGAAAGCATCCTTTCCAGCAAACTTTGCCATATATTTGTTGCATGCAATTCTAGCAGCTTCCAATGCTTCACTTGAAACATTTTCCTTTTCCCAGCTAACCAGATGGACGCAGAAAGGAAACTCATCAACACCTTTCTTCTTCATACCAACATCATAAATTCTGATCTTAGGATCAGGAACACCACGGCAGAAACGTGATTTGGGGTATGGCTTGTTTTTTATCTGCCTATAACACCTTGCAGGCCCTAAAAAATACACCGTCATACCATGAATATGACAAAAACTCAACCAATTTCATTCAAACACCATTTTCAATAATTGAGTATGCAATTTGCAAACGCATATATAACCATTCATCCATAATAAATGGGATTGTTGTTGCAGGAGAACATTAAAAAAACAGAGAAGGATCTCGTAACTGACATCAATACAATAAAGATCTCACAACAAATAACTGACCCAAACGTGTATTCATGCAAGTGTTGATAAACATTATGCCTTTGGAAGACTAACTCCTGCACATGTGACTTGATAGTGGTTTTTTGGGTAGAGAATGTAAACTCTGTAAAATAAAGCATGAACCATAAGCAACAGCAGGCATATATCAGTGCGTAACTCTTCGTGTGGAACGATGTATCTTTGAGACAGGGGACCATGAACACACAAACAAAGGATACAGCTGTAGAAATTTAATTTACAAATAACCAAATGTATTTAAATCTTAAGAAAACAATTAATCAACTTGACTGCATTTGACTAGTATAATATACCATCACAGGACTATGCATTCAAGTAACAACCACATGTTAATGGTTAAACCCTTACATAATAACTTCGAACCATTTTTATTTTTCTATTAGATAAACCAAAAGAACTCATCGGTGGACAGAACTGCACATAACATAAATATAATCAGCAGCTTGTTGCCTGTCATAATATCCACCAACCACAAATCAGATTCAATTTACAGGTTAACAAACCGGCTAGAAATATCATTCTTGTATACAAAATGCAAAATGCAGTCATTCAAGGCATGTTTTCAATCTAACTATCCTCCACATGAAAAGAATCCTAAAGATGCATTTTAATTAAAGGAAACATAAAAAAATTGAAAAGTGTGCGCAACTACGAATGAATTATAATGGTGTGAAACAGAAACAGGGAATGGGCATGCTTACTCCTCCCCATTGCGACGTTTCTCTCCACAACGCAGTGGGGAATGGGAACGGAACAGCTACCCTAACCTGTTAACCCCTCAGAATCGCAGCACTGTTACCTAAATCATTCCGATCCTCATTTATGGGCCGACTCTTGTTTCAGCCCATTTTAAAACCTTTTCCATTTCCAAACACTCTGTTGAGGCTAAGGATATCTCGTTCAAAATTGAAAATAAAAAATCCATAAAAAAATAATAATTAAAATTAATTTTTTAATTGATTTAATTCGATTTTTAGTTAATAATCAAAAATTAATTCTAGATTGAATCAAAATTATAATATATAATATTAAAATTTAAATATAAAATAACAATAAGAGTGATGCAATTAATTTCATTTAACATGGGTTGTATAAAGTTAAACATGTAAGCATTATAAACTGTTTTTGGTTAACCATTAATAATAAATTATTAATTTCGTTCAAAATTAATGAGTTTTTTATTTTTTTAAAATATATTCCTATTGTATGTTGTTAGGCAACCCAAAAAAAGTGTATAGATTTTTGTTTGATTTTTCGCTTCATTGCATTTATTAAGAAAGTGAAGATATTTTGTATCTGTCTAAATAAATTATATAATATTTGTATTCATAGTAGATAAAAGTGTTGCATTTATTAAAAAAGTAAAATTATTTGTCATATTTATTATTTTTTATCTGTTCATATACCTAATATTGCAGTCATTTGGGTAGAAAGTAGTACAAATTTTCACAAGTAAAAGTCAACATAGAAGAATCTGAGTGCTTCTTTTTTGTGTATGTTTTTTCTTTTAATATTTTTTAAATTCTTAAATAAACTTTACATGTGTGTGTTGGTTTTTGTCACTCTTCTTTTATTAAATATATTAAAATATGTAATAGAGGTACTCTAAAGCACCAAGTAACTGTAGTTTTTCAAAATTACAATATTTATAAATGTTTATTCCATAAACATATTCAAAATTATCATGAAACATGATATCCAAAATAAAATAAAGTATTATAAAATATTTAAAAAAATAAATGTACTGTATTTTTGAAATATCATATATTCTATTACACTTATGTTGTAATAAAAATATTATATTTCTAAAATCAAAATACTATATTTTCAAAAACTTCAAATGAATAATCAAAATATTATATATTTAAGAATTCTTATTTAATATTACACGAAAAGAGAATATACGAGAGAGATATTTCAGAAAACTTTTCGAATAAAGATTGTTATTTTAGAATACTTATTATATAACCAAAACATCATTTTATCTATTGTAATTATTTTATCCGAGTAGATTCAAAGTAATAAAATCCGTTTTAACCAAATAAAAATATTTATGTTAGTTATAATTGTAAATAAAATACATTAAAGAATTATGTTAACTAAAGTTATTGTTTTTATACTTTGATAAATACATTTTTATGATATTGTTAGTGGTAAATCGAGAAAAGCGATCGAAATCAAAGAGGAGAAATATGACCCGATAAGATAAACAAAGGTTCATTCGATGTCTAATTAGAAATACATAGCATATAGCATCGAGAAACATAATCGAGAATCGAATGAATTATAATCAAATGACTGTTGTCGAATAAAAACTAAGTCATATAAGACCAGGGTTAGAAAGGAATCGTGAGCAATTCGAAGTTCTCGAAAAATACCGAATCGAGAGTAAAGAAAGCCAATGTGGACATCGAGATTTTGGCCAAATTGTGAAGGGAAGTAAGTCGAATGCACGTATAGAGAGCAGTTTTGAAATCATGGAAAAAAGTCGGAGATCGTGGGAAACTATAGAAGATAAACTGCCATACGC